ACATCCTGAAACTCCTTACTGAAAAAAAGCATCTGTCCAGAACTTAATCAACAAAAAAGTTAATGCATTTAAGACTGCTTAAAAAGTTGAGATCAATCAATCAAAGGTGCACCTCTGAGTTCATGTGGTCATTAGTGGTTCTATTGAAGATCTAAGCTATTGCAACAAAGAATTAGAGAGAGTGTTTATTCTGGCAGAAGGAAGCAGATGTGATTTTTGTATGTTGTAAATTAGCTGGATTCACTTGATGGGCCACAGGTAAACCAATAAATACTATTTGAATGAAAAACGTTGACTCTGCCCACACTCATCATTTTGGTACTTAACTCTGAAAGAGAAATTTCTGTTATGAAATAGTCAGGAGTTATGGTGTGAATTTAATTCTTGACAGTACTCAAATCTACCATGCTGCACAGGAGTCAAAATATCATAAAATGATAAAATGCTATTAACGACACAAAGAATTCCCCATGCAGATTATCCAACTGCATGAAGTACATGTAAGAGCATAATTGTGGTGACGTAGATAGTGTCCAGATGCTGGTTTGTCTATTATTACTTTTATGTCTATAGTCTCCATTATGGATCAAAAAGTTCCATAGAAGTGGATTGGCAACTAAGAAAGGTGAAACAAGACTGACACCTGTTATGAAATGGGGCTGCAAGCAGATAAAGCCACACTGACTCTTAGTCGTTCTCTGTCAGAAACAGCGGGGTCTGACTAGGGAAAGAGGGTAAAGACAGAAGAATTAAAATAAAAACATCATATTTGCCTGCTGTGAAAAATAATATTTTCTCTGTAATAGGGAACTGCTATCACAAAAGGGAAAAGTAGGAGCAGCAGAGTTTCCCCCAAAATACCCCAAGAAATTGACGTCTTTGATAGAATTATTTTCAGGATCTAAATTCATAGACTTGATTAATTTTAAACATTTCACATGCTGTTCAACAGCAAGCTGTATGTTCAAGAAATTCTAGTTTAAAATTTGTTCTTTACCTAATCTGTTAGATGACCTCATAAAAAAAGCCAAATGAGTGTAGCACTAGAGAAAGAACCTCTGAGGAGGGGATGACATGAAAGGGAGGCTTGACATAGACTTGGGACGTTGGCAGGTGGGAGATGTCCCTGGTTCCAGGCAGAGCTGGCAAACTGGTGTGTGCTCTGCAGAAGCGACACTCATATGGAAGCTCTGCTTTTGGCCTATTGCAGGTAAAGTGGATAACCTCTGCTGAATCAATGCTTAGAGTGTCCCTGCAAAGGTGACTGTGATAAAAACACTGTGAGGCAGCTCTAAATGGAGTCTGATGAACACAGTAGGGCTGTCCAAGTGCCACTAGGGCAAGGGTAGCGTTACTAAGAGGCTGAATAAAATTCAGCAAAACATTAATTTTTTCAAGCAGTTCTCATGTCAGAAAATGAGGAACCCCCTACGTTACGGACAGTGCTGTCACTGGCCTCAATTCTCTGCTGAGAGTTAGAAGACCATAAAACCCAGCAGCAGCAAAACAGTGACTATCCAGCAGGGAGATGCCATGGGATCTGCAACTGTAGGCTGCAAGTGGATATATATCAAGCACTGATACTGTATGGATTATTTACATGATGATACTGTGAAGAGAAATTTATGGTGGAAGTTTAAAGCACATTTAAATCCCCATGCGGACATCTCTTCATATTCAATATTTGAAAGCGGGGCACAATATGAGACAGGAAGAAATAAGACTCTGTGTTTCTTCAAGTGTTAAATTCTGCTCAGAGAAGCTGTGCTATAATTCATTCTATTCTGAGTCAAACAGAGCTTAGGACAGACGCAGTTTAATAAAATCTTAGTTAGTTCTATTTCAGAAGTCCATGCCTAGGAAAAAACAAAACCAAACCAAACCCCAGCATCGTACAAAAACAATGTAAGACTTGCATCAAAATTCCTAGTCTGAAGTAGATGTTTTGTCTCTGTATTGAAGAGACATCAATTTGATAGATGGACTACTCGGTGAATAAAGAACTGGCTGGATGGCCACACGCAAACAGTTGTGGTCAATGGATCAATGTCCGGCTGGAGACCAGTAATGAGTGGTGTCCCTCAGGGATCAGTGTTGGGACCGGTCTTGTTTAACATCTTTGTCGCTGACATGGACAGTGGGATTGAGTGCGCCCTCAGCAAGTTTGCCGATGACACCAAGCTGTGTGGTTCAGTTGATACGCTGGAGGGAAGGAATGTCATCCAGAGGGACCTTGACACACTTGTAAGGTGGGCTGATGCCAACCTTATGAAGTTTAACCATGCCAAGTGCAAGGTCCTACACCTGGGTTGGAGCAATCCCAGACACAGCTACAGGTTGGGCAGAGAAGAGATTCAGAGCAGCCCTGCGGAGAAGGACTTGGGGGTGTTGGTTGATGAGAAAATGAACATGAGCTGGCTTCAGTGTGTACTTGCAGCCCAGAAAGCCAACCATATCCTGGGCTGCATCAAAAGGAGCATGACCAGCAGGTTGAAGGAGGTGATCCTGCCCCTCTACTCTGCTCTTGTGAGACCTCACCTGGAGTATTGTGTGCAGTTCTGGTGTCCTCAACATAAAAAGGACATGGAACTGTTGGAAGAAGTCCAGAGGAGGGCCACGAGGATGATCAGGGGACTGGAGCACCTCCTGTATGAAGACAGGCTGAGAAAGTTGGGGCTGTTCAGCCTGGAGAAGAGAAGACTGCGTGGAGACCTCATAGCAGCCTTCCAGTATCTGAAGGGGGCCTCTAAGGATGCTGCGGAGGGATTCCTCATTAGGGACTGCAGTGATAGGACAAGGGGTAATGGGTTAAAACTTAAACAGGGGAAGTTTAGATTGGATATAAGGAGGAAGTTCTTTACTGTAAGGGTGGTGAGGCACTGGAATGGGTTGCCCAAGGATGTTGCGAATGCTCCATTCCTGGTGGTGTTCAAGGCCAGCGTAGACAGAGCCTTGGGTGACATGGTTTAGTGTGAGGTGTCCCTGCCCATGGCAGGGAGGCTGGAACTTGAAGATCTTAATGTCCTTTCCAACCCTAACTATTCTATGATTCCATGATTCTATGTTAAAATTATATTCTTTCGCTCATGGGTTAGGGACATACATTGCAATATCGTGCTACTCATATGCTATACATTCTCTGAAAAGTAAGTATAACACAGTTCTTTCAAAGGTACCTCTACAAGCAAAGACAGTTCATTTCCTAAAGGAAGAGTTCTTTCAGTATCTTGCCTGTATACTCTGCTATGGTAAAAAAATAAAAAATAAAAAAATCACTGCATTTTAATCTTTTCTTATTCTTTTGTCTTTCATTCTTCTTTTATATTGTTCTTGCCATTTTCTGAACGTAAATGTCTAGATCAGTGAAGAGATCCTTGACCCTCCACTAATAATTAGCATTTTGAGACAGACTGAAGTCAATGACCTGTAGATTAAAAGCATTATAGCCTGTTACTGGTCTACCAGGATAGCTTGCCCTAGTGTTAAGTGTCATTTAGCAAACAGGTCCTCTAGTTTGTGATCTTCTATATTAATTGTTTAAAAAGGAATTAATCCTAAAATAATTAATGCCAGTTTATATTGTTATCATCTATCTGCAGGTTTTTGTTCACTCCAGCTTTAAATGTAATGGGATTCTCTCTTTCTATCCTTCATGGTTCAATCTCTGTAATTGTAATTCACGGTCAAGATATCTGTCATTGCTCCTTTTGCTGGTTAGTAGTTCATACAACAATGGAAGCTATCTGCCAAGCAGCACCTGTCTTTTTAATAATTCAACATCTTAAATAAATAAAATGGAGTATGTACCTGCTGCCTTATTTTCTTTAAACTCACTCATCCCTCTCATGCACATTTCATGCCAAAAGCTGTAGGTTAAGAGACTCTGAATTGTCATCACCTCGTACAGTGAAGTTGCAATAAGGAAAATCTTTGCTTTTCTGACTGTTTCCCTACAAAGAGGGATAACAATTTCTAGCCACTGTCAATATGAGTGTGACAGTTGTTTAAGTTAGCCAAGATGCATGCCTGAAGTGAATGTATTTATACTGTCTGTGCTTTTAAACAATTACAATGAAATTCAAATACCTTCATATGGAATTAAGTTCAAAACAGTATTTTGTAGAATATGAATTATTTTGACTTTTTATTTAATAAAAAACTTTACTCTTTATGTTATTTCTATTGGTTTATTTCTTTAACTTTTCAATTGGGATAGCTTACTATGTAAAGTTCAGACAGCGTTAAGCACAACAAAGTTAGGAATTTGACTGTTACATCCATAATGATGTAACTGTTCTGCTTATGGTCTTCATCATAGAGGTATTGCGATTACTTACAATGTACCTACAAAGTGTAATTTTAAACAGAAAACTACCTTTTGCAATTTCACAGGTTGGGAACTGACCCACAGGGACCAAATCCAGATCCTCAATTGCCGCTTAAAGATCTTCATACCACCAAGTTGATTGCAATGTGTGGCCACTTTGAGCATCTGACCTGGCAGAATTGTCCAGTGCCAGAGATGGAGTCTTTAGTGGAAAAAGGATCATGAATATGAACCTTTTATGCTTTAGGCACTAAGCATGAAGACATCTTTCCATTTCACTTTTTAATATCCACTTCAAATTTTGTTTTTCAATCAGCATATATTTGAATAATCAAACATTTATTTTTATCAAGAGAGAGTCTGAAATGTGAGAATTCACTGTTCTGTACTTTTCCCTCAAGCAATCTGTGGAAAGGAAAAATCTGTATTTCATAGATAACATGGCCATTAGCAGCTCAGTCTGCTGCTTCTGACCAGCAGTATTATGTCACGCATAGTTTGGATTTCAGAATTGAAAGCAGCAGGTATTCATTTTTCCCTTACTATTTCAGACATACTGTATCTTGTTAGATAATATATGTTGCAACTTATCAAAATACAAGAACATTTTGATAACTGAAGAATGGTTATTAAAAATCCCTCGAACAATTAATAATGTAGGTAAGAGGTAGACCTGGTGTGCATGGGGGAGCAGGGAGGTGTTATCTTCCTTGTGTACAGCCTCTTCCAGCCTGAAGGTTTTCAGAGCACATCTGGAGGTACAGCAGAAGCATTACTCAACTACTACACTGTGATGTGGATGATTTCAGTGGCATAAGAAGAATCAGATGGTCAAAGCACTAGCATGGCCTTGTCATCCTTGTCATCAGGCAGTAAAACAAGGTATGATGTTCTGAGAGATATTAGTCTGTCGATTTCCATGACAAACCACCACTGTTAGTGACTGTTTTATCCTGTTACATAAGATCACACTGATGTTTCTTCAGAAGGTGTTGAAGATAACAGCTCTTTTGGAAAGAAGATAAAACAAAACAACCACAAAGAGAGAGGCACAAAACAGCACTGGTAGAAAGAAGCAGCAGCTCTTGTCTCTCAGACCATACCTGACTTGCAGACCATAAGCTTCTTTTGGTCCATCTGCACTTTTCATACTGATATCAAATCATATAGTGCCCAGGGCAATGGCTGAATAAGTACCTGAATAAATCTCACCTTTCTGCTGACTAATTTCTGATTTACCATTTTTAATCTCCAGGCTCTGCTCTCTTTGAAGGATTTTGTTCTCTCTACCTATTTATGTAACATGCACAATGATTCTTAGCTCCTGCTACAAAGAGCGGCTTCTGGGAGCCTTGAGAAACCTTGTGCTCCCCCTTCCTGGAGCTACTCAATGTCAAAAATAATGGAAAAGGGAAAAAAAAAAAGAAAAGATTGTCTTTGGTTCTCAGAGAGGGCCTGTGAGGTGAAACAAGGTAATATACCATTATAGATTATATCCCTAGGGTATTCCTGTGAGCAGCATTCTGGATGAACTGTGTTTCAAGGACTCCTTAATCCAAGACATGCATGTAATCTTTGAAGTAGGAACTAAACCCCTGTGCTCCTTCTTGACCCCCTATGCAAGGACCCTTCACCCAGCAGAAAAGGGTGTTATGCTGCTTCTTGTGTAACTTGCATTCTAACTCTCTCACTCAACAAAGTTGCCTTCTGAGCTGCTTTAAAGCCCACACAAAATTCCCTGGTGCTGCAAATATGAAGCCTGCAATACTTCTGTACAATTATTGCCAGCAGCACGCCCATGACTCTGGATTTTCACCACACAGCATCATTAGCACTTAGACTGCAAGCTGCTTGGGCTAAAGACTAGCTGGGGGGGGACTAGTTTTGTCAAGTACTGTGTGCAGCTATGGCGTTTGAATGAATCATATTGCAGTATCAGACTGCCATGTGGCATCACTGGGCTGCCATGTCAGGCAAAACATTATATATAGCAAAATGAATTCAATGGAAGTGAAAAAAGGCCTTGGCATACTTAAGGAAAAGAATGGTTTGACTCCTATTGTAAAAGGAAAATGGGGGTGAGGAGGAAGAGAGAAAAAAGAAAGACTGATTGCCCAAGTGTGTGCATATTATAAAGCTGTCATTTACAGGAATGAAATAAAAATAAACTCCCTTTCTACTACTGACATAGTCTAATAACCTGCATTGCTTTATGTAGAATCTGCACAGAGCTAACGACTTCAGATCTTGCTGACCCTGTATGGCTCAGTTCCCAGAGTCCTACTGAGCATATGGGGAAAATAGCCAGGTTTTGTACAAACACAAATGTTTGCTTAAGCTGAGCCCAGGACCAATACGGTCAAACCATCATCTTGGGATAGAAAGTTTTGTTGCCAAGTAAAAATTTAATCCGGAAGCTGATAGTCAGTAAGAAATAGAGTTGTTTCCTCAGACAGGCCTTCTCTGCTATGAAAATCAAATGCGTGGTAAGAGGAGCAGATTGTAAAAAAATTGTACTACGATGATGTCTAAATACCTCCTAAAAAAGGATTTATGATTTTAGTCTACTCCTGAAGGGAGTTTGCAGAACTACAGGACCCCTGGCACTGATGTGGGGATTGCAGATAGCACAAATTAGGCTCTAAATAATGGATCAAAAAGAGGAGCCTCAAAAGCTAGATTTTATTGCTCTTCGGGGAATAGCGCAGACTATTATAAAATACTGCAGCTTATGAAGCTCCAATAGCATTGTGCAGTTTAAAGGAAAAAAAAAAAGCCTCAAGGAAAGCAGGGAAAGCTCAGTGGCAGTGAGCCGGGTAGAGCTACACTTTCTTATTGTAGGAGACAGTGGTACATGGGGCAGGGATGGTGCAATGTCCTAGAGATGGCCACATCCCAACCTTACGCAGTGTTCAGCACCTTGCCTTTCAATCTTGTACAACTTAATGTAAACTTGTGATGCCTGGGTGCTTCAGCTTTCAATCCTACATTCTTAAAATAAAGCAATGGTGATTATATGACCTGGTTAAGAAAGAGCAATCATGGGATGATGATATTGAGGTATATTCAGTTGGTTGCTGATACCAATTTTTGTCTGAGCATGAGCATACCAGAAACCATCTCTGTTTCTTCTGTCAAAAGGGGCAGACATCATCAGCATAAAACAGCCTTTGTTAATTCAAGTTGTATTATGATATAAGACATGTCCTCAATTAAAGCTATACAGCATGCTTACTTATGGCTCTGGGGTCTTTTACCAATTGATTTTGGGTTGGAAAAAAGCAAACAAAACCCCAAAATCAATTATGAGCAATAGAAATTAAGTTAAAATTAAATGTAAATAAATACTAGATCAAAATATAAATTAAAACATGTCAGAGAAAAGTAGTTTATTTTCACCTGAAACATAAACAGACCAATAGCAGCAAATGCTTGGCTATCTCTAAGCAAATCTAGAGCTTGCTTGCCAGACTCAATCTCTGGTGATGAGCTCCTTGCAGCTACATGCAAGACTCAGTAAGAAAACAGATGGTACACTGGAGCTTTGCTTCATGAAGAATAATAGATGAGTAGATAGAGACTCTCAATCTCAGAGTGGCACACAGGGTGATCAGAATCCTAATCACAACCACCCTGTGATAAAAGACTCTGAATGAAGAATGAATTAAGGTGGTTTGGTCTGTTTTATCAATAAAAGTAATAGTAAGATATATTTCTTACAATTCTTTAAGCAGAAGGCTCACAGGAGCGATACATATTGCTTACAAAGGATCATGAAGTGAGATAAATCACTCTGTCCATTTAAGGGTTGTGTGTTTGCTGCCTCTGTATTATCAGCAAGATTATTCCCTGAATTTTGGCAAATGCATAAGAATATATAAAAAATATACAGACCAAAATTCTCCTTCTGGCATCTTTTGTCCCTGCACTGTGAAGCCTGGCACAGGTTAGAAAACAAATTATCTGCTCTGTGTTGCCCTGTTTTGTTATTATGATGCATTAGAAACTAATGCAGGATTCTGTCATCTAGAAATATTTGAGCAAGATTTCCATATTTGAAAAACAATTTCCTGTCAAGAAGGTAATAACAAGTGAAATAACATCAATATAACTGGAATATTAGGACAGCCTAAAAGTAATGATATTGCAGCCTAAGGTATTAGAAGGAAATAGCTTAAATTATTCAGGAAGTAAACTGATGTCATGTGGTCAATGCACTACATATTTCACATATCCCAATTAGAATTAATGTAATAATAAAGATTGATTATTAAGTAATAAACACTGGCCAAACAAATTACTGTAAACATAAGTCAAATCTGCTAGGACAGCATACCTCTTTCTCTCTCTGGGTTGCAGAGCAGACCTTGACACAAGCCAGAGTAGAACAAACAATTCTTCACAGATATTTTCAGACTTCTTTGTCCATCTTGCAAATATAGATCAAGCTATCTTTGAAGCTACTGAAAACTTTGTGCACACTGTTTGTTCAGTGTGTTACTGTCCAACATGTGACAATAATAATTAAAAAAAAAAAAATATTTGGGCTTACCTGTGTGAGATTGCACCAGTTACCTATGCTGGTTATAATGAAATGGAGTAAACTATACAGGGAAACTGTGCATTTTTGTTTGTATTGCAGTATCAATTAATTTGGTAAAAGCAGACTCATTTATGGACTTCTAGGCTTTTTACTGAAAGTAAGCAATGATTTGTGCTACGGAGATTTTAATACTGAATTGTACCCCTTCATAAATAGTGATTCAACAAGTGTGACAGACTGCAAAGCCCTGCAGCTTTCATGAAATGCCGTTCCCTTCTTACTGTCTTTCAGATGGTGTCAAGTGGTACAAAGTTGTGCCAAGATACAGTCAGCAGCAAAGAATCTCTCTACCACCTTCCTTTTAATTCATTGCAAATAGTGCATTTTCATCTGCAGGTACAAGCTCATCTTTCCTACAAGATAGAAAAATGAAGCTGAATTTTGGATCATGGGCTAATACAAGACCCTTCATCCCAGAGCCTTCAGACTGTGGGATGGGATTCAGTCTAGTTTCATATGCAAGCGCTTACAAAAACCTGCAAACTAACTGAGTAAGCCCCTTCAAGTCCTTCATTTTTGTTCTCACCTTTTCTGAGTAATTCTCATTAAACTGAACTTCTAACGTGGCACTGCTGCTGATCTGTTCTCAGACATTGCTCTTTCATTGCCTTGAGTTGTGCAAGCCTTCAGGCTGCATGAAGTTGCAAGTCCATTGTTCTAAGGGGGTTTATCACAAGAAACAACCAAGGAAATGGAAAGAGAAGAATTTCCACCTCATGCTGTACAGTGCTCCTGTGAAAAGGCAGGTCCGTCTTGCTTGTGTGCATCAAAAGGCAGTGAAAACCAGGTTATATGGACAAAACTTTTTTTTTTTTTTTACTATGTTTGGCATTAGAACACAGAAAGAATTTGAAGTATTCAAGACCTATTACAAAATTAACAATGGAATACTTAATTGATTAGGGGGCAAACATACCCATGCAAGACTTAAAGCAGCATAGAGAATTCACCACTTCAGAATGATAAAGATGAAAAAATGGAAGTCTTTGTTACAGATTTACCTTATCACAAGTGTCTGTCCCCACTGTACATTGCTCTGGTCAGCGTGTGTAAGCTGATGATATGAGAATTCAGTTGGTCTTTTCAAATAAAGCTTACCTTCAAAGTTACAATAAACCAGTACTCTCAGAAGTCATTGGTAAAGATGAC